GGTCGAAAGTTCACAAAGCTGAAACACAGCTCTTTGGTTAAGGTCACTAAAATTAGGAACACTCCGTCCAAATAAAAATATGATCCAGCCAGGTCATATGAAACCTTTTATGAGATGCTCCAAGAGACAATCAGCATTCAAACTAGTCCACCATTGTATGTCTCAGATTCCTATGGCATGAGTTGAAAAATCTTTCTCCTGTTAGAGAAGTAACCAGATAAAGTGTGGGTGTCCTGTAGAGAACTAGCAGTCATGGCTGCCTCCCAATGAACAAAAATCTTTCTCCTGTTAGAGAAGTAACCAGATAAAGTGTGGGTGTCCTGTAGAGAACTAGCAGTCATGGCTGCCTCCCAATGAACAAAAATCTTTCTCCTGTTAGAGAAGTAACCAGATAAAGTGTGGGTGTCCTGTAGAGAACTAGCAGTCATGGCTGCCTCCCAATGAACAAAAAAAAAAAAGAAAAGAACATGAATGTGTTTGTTCCTCCAGTCCATATGTCACCATATTGAAAATATAATGACTCGCCACAAACAATTAAATCAGCCCTATCACTAACATCATTAAATCTCTTAGGCGTAATGAATTTGTATATTTTACTACTCCATTATTTTTTCATCTGTTAAGATGCCTTGATGTGTCTAGGACTCAAAGAGCTACTGATAGGCAGTGATTTTGTTCTTTTCTCCTTAGCAGATTTACCTTAATAAGGAAAGAAGAAGAAAAGAAACAACATCCAAAAAGCTCCAAATGAATAATATTTTTATCTGGATACAAACACCTGTGCCTGTAGAAAGGTTTTATTAATGTGAGGCAGTACCACCATTTTCAGTTCCCAAACCCTCTTCACCTCTAATAACTTGAAATGCTGAGAACAAGGAGCAAAGAATACTATTCTGGATCAAGTTTCTGCAGATACTTCAGGAACAAAATCCCTCACTGTCACTGTACACAAAAGAAAAGGGAAAAGAAGAAAAATATTCCATAGCCTGACACTTTATACATGTTGCTGAAGAAAAGCAAGAAATAAACAAAGCTCATGTCAGTTTCAGCTGTCTTCATTTCATCTGGACTGCTGTAGGAACCTGCCCAGCTGTCAAGCTAGTGTTTCTCTTAAAGGACCTAAAACTCAGGAGCCAGGAGAAAGGATAAGGCAAAAATTCCTCCCCATGGGAAATACAGTAGCATTTACATGACAAAACAAAAA